AATCGAGTCAAGTTGTTTCAATACTTCTTGATGATCGATGATTGATAATAGTCTTAAGCAACGAAGATTTGGTGGAAAACATCGTACTAAGTACAACTTACTTTCCAACATAACAAACAACGTACTTTCCGCATGACATGTGAACAGAGTTTTAATATGTTCACGATAGCCAATGTGATTTAGAATAATATTGCCCATGTGTAGTTTATATGTAAAAGCTAAATGTAAAACAAAGCGCATTTCTTGTGAGAAACATGTTTATCAAAACTGGATAAAATGCTTCAGGTGTCCATTTCAGCAGTAAGCGAGTAAGCGGAGATTGTTTTTCCGAACAATAATAGATTAGGTTGCAATCCGCATAACGTTTATCAAGTAATGTTTCGTGTAATGAATACAACTTTCTTGACGAAGACCTGGTGCATGTCGTGGATTTTAAAATTGTTATCGTCGGTAAATGGTGAAAACGTTTAGTTAACATTGTTCTCTTGACTTTAGTCTAGGGTCTTACAAACTGGTTGTCTGTGTGTGTGTGCGCAATATACGGAAAAATGGGTGCTAGACATTCTATGGATAAGCGAATCACAAGAGAGAGAATAGAAAATTATTTTTTATAGAAGGTGAAAATAATCAAAGAGATGATCTGAAATATCTACCGCTGCAGGGAGACAAAAAGCTAAGCAAACGTTTTCTGTAGGCCGGGGATAGATGTCGCCAGAGTCTACATCTATACAAAGCGCTCCTAGCAAGTAAACGAACCTTAGATGAGAGATAAAATGAATACCAGGAGCGCGTATGTTCGAAAGAAGATAATAATAGCACTCTCTGCAATATGAAATATAGCATTTGTGATACATTTGAAGGGTTCATACCACTCTTGGAAGGAACACAAAAAAAACTAATGAAGAAGAGAAACAATAAAAAAGAACAGTGTGAAAAAAAATGAGTAAGTCCAAAAATGTTTGGTAGCCTTCTGGTTACTTTTCCGCGCAAAAACCGAATATTAACAGATTCGTCTTGTAATTATTAACTAATCTAACTAACTATACACGATCTCGACTGGATTAAGGTACTCAGAATTCGAACATCGAGTAATATTTTCTTTCTGGCTCTGTTATACATCATTCGACGCAGAATATCACGCTGGTCACGATTGTCACCTTTTTAACTAGATTAGTGCGCGTTTTTTCTAAGACAATTCGAAAAACTGAAAAGCATCGTTTCTTCAGAAAAACGTGTTCCTTTTTAGAAAAAGCTCTACACGTTTTTCCAGTAGTAACGTAGAGTTTTACACCTGTTATTTTCGGATTCTATGCTCAAAACTAGTTTAGCAAAACTGTGCTACAAGGTAGTTAAAGCTGTATCAAAAGTTCTGGATGGCTCTGAAACAGACACTGCTCCAACTTGAAAAATTCACCTTGCAAACGAATCAGCTTTTTATCATTGATGGCTAAAGCCTTGGAATTAACGCCACTTGAGCAGCCGTAACAATTAGTGCAAATGTTTCTTTTTTTGAATTTTTTTATTCCAGAGATATTCGCAAAATATTCCAAATTTCAGCTTTTCTTGTACAATCGGCCAGGTTATTCTGAAGTCAATCATACAGTTTCCAACCCAAAGATGTAGTCGGTGTCCTACATCCAATGACTCATACCCTACAATTGGAGAATAGTGATGGGGTTAGAGTATGGTTTCTGTTATTCTAGACAATTACTCCTATAATGAATAGTTTGCCTAGATCAACGATATAATAAGTGTTTTCGCTTATAAAAACGCTTCGTATTGTGAGTTGCTTTCTGTGTAAAAAATCTAGAGGCACTAATATCAACAATAATGGAAGCCATCATTACCGCCATTCAAGGACGCCATTGTGCTTGGATGTTTCTATAGAAAGTGTTGAGGCAGATATTCACAAAACAATTTTGAAATAACGTATTTTTCTAATATATTTAAAAAGAATCCTTGCACGTATGTTAACAACAATCGCTCAACTTAACGCAGATTTGTAACTTAACGCGAAAATGTCGCCTCTCTCAACGCGTGTAATTGATAGACGAAAGGAAGCGAGTTTTTTTTGGGTAAGCCATGAATCAATGTGAAAATATGGACTCCTTGGAAAAAAATTGATTCTTATCCTAATGAAAACGCTTTGAGAAAGTCTCATGACTTCCAAAGAGCTTTTCCAGAAAACCAGGTCTCGAGAAAACCTTTTGGAAAACTGTTTTGGAAAACTGATGTAGATCGATAGGGAACTGAATTTTGAATAAAATGGGATCTCACTGCAGTGTTTTCGACATTGTATAGGATCAATACAAGGAATTGAGATGTGTTTCTACCTGTAAGAAGCATGAAAAGGCGCACTCATGTTTTTTACCTGTTATTGTATATTAATTAAGGAGAAGTTGCATATTTCATTCGACGGCAGTTTTCTTCATCACTACGTTCGCTAAACGTTTAACGATTGTTTATTTTTCTTGGAAAACCTTCACGTACTGCAAACTTTTATTGTCGAATGTTGTCGCGTCGAATCATCCTCAATACTGTCACCATCAGATAACATGGGAAAATATTTAAAACGGTTCTCATTTTCCTTAATCGAGATCACAAAATATTATGACACAATAGCTCAATTATTAGCGTCATTGCATTTACTAGAATATTTGTTCATAGACATTACATACTTTCGATATCCATGCTTTTATCATTTGCTTGATGGTATTTCGTTTGAAGATGATTTTCTATCACGCCGATTTTTATTGTATTCCTGAGTGTGATTCTTAAACAACGCAGATATAATGCACTATAATTGACAAGAATTTTTCATCCAAGTTACGGTAAATATTTCCTCATCAATAGCCTCAAAAATGCATTAGATAAACCATGAGAAATTCTGAACATAGTTTATTTCAATAATTGTTTTGGAAAAGCGACCACATCTCGGTTTCGTTATCCGAATAATATATTCTTTCCGTTCTTTATTTTGTATACTGTGTAACAAAAATAATATTCAACATTGCCAAATAAGAAGCTTATTTTTGAACAGCTAAGTCAAAATAACGAAGAACACATAAATACATAGTAATAGTTTTCAAATCAAACAATCTTTGATTAACATTCTGAAAAGCAAATTGGAAACATCAGACACATAAGGCAATGAATGTATTTCACACATACCAAGCCGACGTTCGTGATTAGGAAAATACTTGATGTAACAGTGAATACGAGCTTTCGATAATTGCCAATATTGTCGCTCAAAAGTCTGCATCATAAACTCTGTGGATAACTGATTTAGATTGTTTTGAGACAATGTAGTTACATGAAAATCAAATTTCTTTAAATTTGTAAGGGGCGATAGAAAATCATCTTCAAACGAGCTATTGTGTCATAATATTTTGTGACCTCGATTAAAGAAAATGAGAAGCGTTTTAAACATTTTCCCATGTTATCTAATGCTGATAGTATTGAGGATGATTCGACGCGAGAACATTCGACGATAAAAGTTTGCAGTACGGAAAGGTTTTCCAAGAAAAATAAACAATCGTTAAACGGTTACATTTGGAGTCGAAGAGTTTTAATCAAAGACGATGATATTTTGGCGTGTGGAATAGAAACCAAAATAGAATATTGACTGTCTTTGGGTATATTCGAATAATAACCAAACTTTTCTAACCGTTTTAACTGACATAATGCATACTCACATATTTGATTTGAAATTATTTCACTTCTTGTACCTTTAACACATAAAACTAAACTGGTCAGTGCATGAAACTTTCGTTTCTATATTCCAAATTAAAATTAAATAAGTGACAGAAGCAATGAATATTTTGTTGAGTGGTAAATGGTACTTATATTTAGAAAAGAAATATTTTACCAAAAGAGGTTAATTTAGTCTTCGCTGTCTTCATTTCGATCGTTAAACGTCAAGTGTTGTTTCGCAATGTTTATGAGTAATAATCGTAAAAGCAATTTTGTCTCACTATTTATAAAATGACATAACCTCGAACAATAAGAAAAGGTATCTACTAAGGTAGTACTACATTGTCGCTTATCTCAACTTTTTAATGTTTACCAAAAATTAAATCTTCAAATATTTCTAAAAGTTGAAGGGAGGTCACCCCTATTCAGGCGGTCCTGATTCCAATAAAACTCGATATGAATCGCGTTTTGTATGACGATAATAAAGGACTTCCGCCCTGGTCATGTTGCTTCTTTGAAAAATCTTTTTATGCCTCGTTGTGCTGCTGAGTCCATGATGAATCAGTTATGACTCCATAAAAATAATGTTTAACAGCATTCCAACATTCTGAGAGTCGTTACCATGACACAGCTCTTGTTTGATTATCTGCTTTCTTCTGATTCGCTCAAAATACGCGTCCTCATTAGCATCAATTTTCTATTGGCTAACTGTACTTTATCTGTCTTCTAACGCACACTTCAACCGGTGTTGATCGATCGAAGCTTGTTTGACTTCGACGAAGTAATTCATATCACCGAAAAAAAAATAAAGTTGGTTTAGAGTTGCTGAAAAGTGGTTTTTCGTATCCAGCACACTCAATAACCCAAAAGATTTTCTGTTTTAGGGCCGAGGTAGTTCCGAAAGTTTAGGAAACGTTTTCAAATTAATATTATTTTTCCGTGGATAACTTTTTGCGCCATTTTGTTTCAAACTTTTTCTTAAACTTTCGGAAGTACCCCGAACTAAAAGTAGAAAATCTTCGAGGTTATCGAGTGTGATGAATACGAAAAATCACTTTTCAGAAACTCTAAACCAAATTTATTTTTTTGTTCCGGTGATATGTAGGGTAGATTGATTTTGAAAATTGGATCATTGTCAATAGAATACTGAACGAGAAGATCTCTGAGAGTTTCTTAGGAAACTCAAGGTTATTCATTTTTCAGTTTGTAATAATATAATGTAATGAAGAATCCTGTATTGTTCGATTTGTCGTACACCTTTGCTCACTCTTTTAGCATTATTATCATGATGTAGACCGAAAACTGTAATGTTATCGTCGTACGTACGTTTCATTTTGTTTTCATCTACACGCGGTCGACTTTCTAAAGATTTACGTTCGACACAGAAACATTTGTTATGTATTTCCAAGAGTCTATCTACAGTACCATATAAAAAATTATCGGAGGAAACGAATCATCGTCAAGACAATTATTCAGACTCCTATAATTCTGTTAATCGACGAAAAGTAGAACCAGATGTTGAAAAAAAGAAAGAAGTTAACTTAAAAAGGTCTATCGAAAACGAGCAAATACTAGTAGCTGCAAATGATTTACTTGAAGCTAAACGTTTCATAGAAGAAGAAAAGAAAGTACATTATACTTCTGAACATGTTTCAACCAGCACTGAAAAATTTTCATTGGGTTTGGAACCGATTCAATCATCATCATCTCTGTCTTCTATGCATAATACCGGTGAACTTTTTCGTGATGCAAAACTAGCACCCAATTATACACCAGTTTTACCTGGTACACCGACTTCTCCTCCACAAACAGGAACAGTTTCTTCCAGTCAATCTTCAGTTCAAGAACCAACATTCAACACATCTGGAAGTACTATTACATCACGGTTACAAGTTTTATCACCGAAATACACTACTTCAGAACCTTACGATGTTCCATTAACGCAGGAACACTTCATACCGGTAGAGTTCATTTTATTTTAATCTTACAATTTAACAGATTTTTGTTTTTTACATAGATAACACGTCCGTCATTGATCCGTTTAATTGCTACTGATTCAAATCTACTAGCAGAAGATGAACGATTTTTATTTCATCAATTATGTTCTGGTTTAGATTCAGCTGTTGTTCAGCGCTATCATCCGGTTCTCAATGAATTAAAACATTTATTCGATCCATTGAATCCTGATAATGAGACTCATTCAACAAGAAAAGTATCATATCGAGATAAATTAGACAACGAATATTGGTTATTACAAAAAATTGATGATATTTTGATGAGAGCAAATTTTAGCGTATTACCAAAGAGAATAATTGTGGATAAACTGTTAACTAGTGAACAGGGTACATTGAATGTTAAAATAAATGGTTATGACTATGATGTATTAAAAATTTGGATATTAGGTCGAGAGAGTATGCCGAATGAATATATGCCATGGTATAAACGTTTGTTTAGATTCGGACGGAAACCATCATCACAACCAACATCAACAGATTATTTTAAACGCATTATATTAGCTGTACGTCTTAAAGGACAAGATCGTTTGTATTTAAAAGCATTTCGTGATGTATCCTTACAAAGTATATCACAACTATTACCAACTGGACGAATTCAAATCGGCCGTTTTGAACAACAATTATTATGGTTAACATTGTTTACTGGTTCAGCAACAGTTATAACAAAATTAGTAACAACAATGGCTGATATTTATACGCCTAGTATCATGTTAGTTGGTGGTAGTCTGACATTGTTTATTGGCGGTTATGGATATAAAAACTATATGTTATCGAAATTTGATTATTTTTCAAGTATGAATCATCTGTTATTCTATAAAAATATTGCAAATAATAAAAGTTTATTGACAATGATTGTCGATAGAGCCGAAGATGAATTAAGTAAAGAAATTCTACTTGTTTACATCTATTTATTATCGAAACAAAAACTCAAACAAGAATTAACATTGAAAACACTTGAAATTGAAATTGAAAATTGGCTCAGACAAAAAACAAATAGTGTTATTCATTTTAACAGTGTACAATCTGTTGAATTTTTAAAAACATTGGGTAAAATAATTATTCATTTATTCAAACATAAGTTTATGTATATTCTGTTATTATTTTTAGGTATATTACAACAAAAAGGTAATGATGATATTGAAAAGTTACATGTTATACCAATGAGACAAGCAGTAGGCATCTTGCCAATGGTTAATCGTACATTGAGTGAAAAAAATGAAGAAATGGATTTAATTGAAGGTTATGATAAAAAGTATTATGAAATTGATTGGAAAACAATTCTAGATGAAGATCGAAAATTGAAAAAAGGAGGATGGGCATAATATTTGTTTGTCATTTTAATTGATTAACATAATGGCATGGTGTTACTAGGAAATCAAAAATCTTCACTGGGCATGGTTTGCTGCGTGCAATATCTAAATTCAGCTTTTAGTTGATTTTATTTTGAAAATTTCGGTCGTTAGAGCTAAGTGCTTTCTACATCATCATGAATCTATACCAGCTTGTTTCTTTATTCCTCAATTTAAATTACAAACTTTTGCAGTATCTTTTTTATAGAATAAAACCATTTTTGGATGCAGTCCCTCAAGCATTTATTCCCTCTCTTTTGATCGGTACATGTTAGGCTGTGCGCGTCTGTCTACTGTTTTTTTTTTTATTTTATTTTATTTGCACTAGTTTATTCATTGTATAGAATTCGTTAGAAATCAACTTATTTGAACTCATGTTTTTTCGAGCGATTTCCGTCATGTCTTTAGGAAATTATCCCTTCGAAAATAAAAAACAATAAAATTGTAGACCATTTTATCGTTACATAAAACATATTTTTTTTATTATAAATATATTCGTTGTCTCATACGATCTTAGCTTAATTTCTAATTTTAGTTTTAGATATTTAAGTCATTTTTATGTTTATTTTAAACGACGATTAGTGTGACGACCATGACAGACGAAGGTGAAACTGCTTTAGTCGAAAAATCTGTTGGTGGCTCAGCAAAGCAAGGTTATATTAACGTGACTTAAATATCGTGATTTTTTAAAAATTAATTTTCTAATTTTTAAGGTCTTGGTTCACGATCAACCTCAAAAGTAACATTTCGTGATGATGAGAGAAAACCTCATCGACTATCTGCTCTACAACAAAAAGAACAACAACTGGGTAGTAGCAGTGGAAATCAAACATTGGCCATTGTACCATCAACACAACAACAACAACATTTAATAGATATTAAACGAAAAGAAGAAATAAATCCGTTTAAGTTTTCACCAGATATTGATTTTTGTGCCTTAAGTCAACTAGACAAACGAGAAAAGGCTCATGTATGTTGTTGTTGTTTTTTGAAATATCTGACGATTGTACGTTTCTTTCTCTATTGTTTTATAGGAACGAGAACGAATGAAAAATTTAAAAGTACACGAAAAATTATCGAAAGCGCAACGATTAATGCAAGGAAGACGTTTTCGTGTATTAAAAGAAATTGATGATGAAATTGAAAAAGAGGTCTGTCTCATGAGTTGTCAACCTACATTTGTCTATATAACGTTGTCATTATTTTTTCATTTATAGAATGTTCAAGCAAAAGAAAATCGTGTTGCATCAATGAAAGACAATGCACCATGGTTGGTAGCAATCACTCGAAATCGTCGTGTGGAAAATGAAAGTCTTCATGAGTTTGTTGAAAAAAAACGAAACATGTTTGTTTTGCAGGTATATTGAATTAATTCTTGAATAACATGTTACAGATAAAGACAAGCTTTTACTTTCTTTTTAGTATGAATTAACAGTAAAACGTACAGAAATGCGAAAACTTGAAGAAATAACAGCAGCCGAAGAAGCACGAATAGAAAAAGCTGAAAAAGATCTTGAAGAAGATGCAATTATGTTTGATCAATTCTTAGCGGCAAATAATAAGAATGCAAATGAAGCAGCAAGATTGTATGTTTTATGAATTAAACATTTAATATCACTTGTCTATTTTTTCATATTTTATTTAGAGCTGATGAAGAAGCACGGAAAAAATTGGAAAAAGTATCAGAAATAAAAAGTTTACATGGTCAAATAACTGCATTAAAAAGTGAATTAGCAAGACGAGAAGATGAGTTGAATGAGTTTAAAGCCTATAAACGATTTTTGGATCAAATTACACCAAGCGTGAGAAAATTGAAGTCACTTGTTTGTTTCAAAGTATAGAATATTTCTCTTTTCTTTTTTTTTGTTATAGGAATGGACAGAAGAACGTCGTAAAATAATTGAACAAGAAAAATCAGCACGTATTGCTCGTGAAAAAACGGATGCACAATCTGTAGCATCTTCCGATGATTTAGGGAGTAAAAGTCGATTGCAAAATCGTAGTGATCCAGCTCAGAGTAAAGTCACTGGAAAACGTACGGGAGGCATGCCAGCGAAACGTACAACATCCGGTCGACGACGTTCATCTACACAAGCAAAATCTGATGAGACTTCAAGTGGTGATACTCTTGAACAACAAAAATCAGATATGAATTTTGAAGTGGATAGTGACGATTTTGAATTATTTTTTACTGATCCACAACAACTTTTGGCCATATTTACCGAATTAGAAGAGCAAAATCTCTCATTAATTCAAAATTCACAAGATCATGAAGAACAATTGGAACAATTAACACGTGAATTACAAACAACTATGGAACGTATGAATTATGAAACAGAATCATTACAACGACAAGTATCACATTTAGAACAAGCTATACGTTTAGAAGAACAAAAAGAAAAAGAATTAATGGAAAAAGTTGGCGCACATTCAATGGTTACCGATGATAGTAAACAAGATGAATATCTTGAACAATTATCAAATGTAATCAATGATGTTTATAAAAAAATATTTAGTGAAAATCCAGTAACAAGTGATCCACTAAAAAATTTGGCATCAATTGAAAATCGTTTAGAAGAATTATTTCAACAAATTGATATCATGGATCCACAACGTTTAGCAGAAGCCGAAAAGGCTAAAGAAAAAGAACGTCGTTTGAGATTACGTGAACAAAAAAAATTAGAAGAAGAACGTTTAAACGAAGAAAAAAAACGAAAAGCAGCAGCAAGAGCCAAAGAGCCGCCGAAAAAACAAGTAGGTTTGATATTAACAGACTCCGTAGTTGAACTGAAAAATAGAAAACGTGGAGATGTTTAGGGATGATGTGGTACTTGAAATAATATTTCATCACTCATCCTAATTTAGCATAATTCTTAGCGACAGTAGTCTGTAGCTCAAGCGCTTTTAAACATCATTCTTATCAATTTATGTACTAAAAAAATTCAAACTGTGCAAAAATGTAGCAAGATTGTCCGATCAACATTGAATTCTATCAATATTGAAGAGTGAACGATTAAAATTCTTTACTTTTTAGATTGGTCGTCCGATTGCCGAACGTTCAAGACCACCAGAATCAAAAAAACACGATCAAGATGCAATCGACAAAACAAACGAAGAAGAAGAAGAACTTGCTTATTATTTTACGTAACTGTTTTTCTTATTTCTCTAATCAAATTGCGATAACAGTGCCTGTCGTCCACATATCCGTCCATAGAATAAACTTTTTATAAATAATTTTTTTTTTAATATTATCAAACTTATCGACAAACACTCTATATACATATTTCGTATATTTATTTTTCATAATAAAATATTAACCAATTTTACATATGAATATACGTACAAAACACGACTATCTTTTTTTTCTTCTTCATCGACCTATTTTTAAAAATGAGAAAAAGTTGTTGTTATCTTCAATAGTAGAAGATGAGATGCTATTGTCTTTGAATGATGTTTGAAGCAAAGAAGCTGAGTTTTCTGGATAAGTAAATGAATAATATTGTTCCTGATTTTTCTCAGCACCATCATCAAATAAATAAGGATATATGATTAATCGATAAATAAGAGATGTTAATAATAGAACTTGTAATACGCACATAAAAGAGGATGACATTTGCTTTGTTAAAGATGGTATTCTTGTTCGAATACTGCCATTATTTAGATTTAATCGACATTTACTTTGATCAATATTGTCAGAAAGAAAAATGTCAGATTTGATCATTTTGATTTGTTGGTTTGTAGTTCGTGAACATAGCGAGCGTGAATAAGACAATGATATTTCGTCGTTAGTTTTAACCATATCATGCTAAAAGAACATTCTTGTTATCAAAGATCTATGAAGACATTCCTTGAATATCATACCTTTCTTTTCTCTATTCTTTTTTTCTGTTTTGTATCAATTTTATTCACTGTTTTCAATGCATATTTTTTACTTCTCGATCGTGGCTTCGTTTGTTGACATAAAAATGGTAAACATATCATATGTTGATGATAGAATGTAGCTTGTTTGTCATCATCTATTATTTGATTTGTATTTAAATTTTTTGCACAATTTTGTAGACGTTTACGTTCTTGTTCATCTTTAGTTGTGGATGCTAAAAATTAACAATAGTCATTGATTGGATATTTGAATTATATATTCTTTACCTATTTTCAACTGTTTTTCACTGAATTCTAATTCGTAGTCAACATCGACTGTCGATGTACTTATCATTGAATCATATGTTGATGTGATATGTGGCATTGATGATATATGCTCACTATTCTCAAATAAATTTTGATTTGTTAAACCATATAAATCGTTATTTTTTGGAATTTTTGATTGTGTTTTTGTTTTTTCTATATCGACTAGTGTAGATGACGACGATAAAGTTGTTGGTAAACTACTTTCGAATAATAGAGAATCTGATGTCATCGATAAACGTTGATGGTGATGTCTATTTTCTAGTGCTCTCAAATATAATGGATTTTGTTTATGAGTTGTTTTCAATATTGGCGATTCTAAAAATCAAGAAAATGAATTTCTAGACTGATATTGGACAGAAAAAATTAACCGCAAGGTTACAGAACACTTTCAATTTTTTGCTAATACTGCACCTAATGCAAATTCCTTTTGTCTATTTTCTGTATGATGATATTTATTCACATGACATTGTGTCAAATTAGTTTGTAGTGGTTCCATTATATTGAAATTATCCGTTTCAATTGACTTTTGTATGGATTCATTTGATTTTATCAATTTTTCTTGTTGAATTTTGAAATCCGATTTATTTATGCTGAATTCTTGATATTTTGTTAGTGATAATTGTTTATGTAACATTTGAATTTGTTTAAAATTATTTAGTGATTTTGTTATTTGTTGATGTTTCTTTTGAGTTAATGCTGCTCGATGACGTAAAAGAGAATTTTGTAAATTTTTCAAAACGTGTTTAATATTTTCAATGTTTATGGTGTTTTTAATTGTTACTTGTTCTGATTTTGCTTTTTGTATAAGTTGTTTTTTCGTTTTAGAGCTGTTTTGACTTGACGATGTTGTTGTTGTTATGGAAGTACTAGTTGAATTATCATCTGAACTTGTTCTACTACTACTGCTATTCTTTGTGTCAATAGTAGACGTAATGATATCAGCTGTGATATCAGTTATATTTTCTTGTTCTTTTAATGGAGAATTGTTCATATTCAGATTAGAGCTAAAAAAGAGAAATGGCTGTTTCTTTATTGAGGCAGTAGTAATAAAGTTAGATATAAATCTTACCCTAATAATTTTTGTTTAATTGTTGCGGGTAACCATTGCAAAGTCCGTCTGTGTGTTGTTGTTAATGGCAATTTTGGTACAGTAGAACTCTAAATTGTTTGAGAAGAATTTAAAAAACCTGGAACTAATATATTCACACTCGTTTTAGGCAAAAAAATTTTGTGCAATGTAATTTTGTTTCTTACTCGTTTGGACATATGACTGTTACTCGTTATTATTCCCTGTTTAGCATTCAATAGAAGATGTTTGCTATCTTTGATAGTTTCTTCATTATTCTTCAATACTGTTGGTGATTGTTGCTGTGTTCCTTGTTGTTGATCATGATAGAGATAATAGTCTGTTGGATCTTTTAAATATTCTTCATGTTGTATTTGACTAGTATTAATTACATTTGGCATACTATATGTTTTCATTAATGATGTTTGATTACTATTCCATTCATTCTGATATTCTTCAACGTTTAAATTATTGAATGTTAAATAGATTGAATCAGCAGATCTCCACGGTTCATCATTGTTATTGGAATAATTTTGTTGATATATTTCATGTTCAAATATATTATTACTTTTATGAGAATGATGTTGATGACCATTCTGACATTGACTATTGTCACATTTAACAACATCAATATTAACTGCTACACCAGTAACTAGATCATTAAAATTTCCTATCTCTGTATGTTGTTTATGAGACGATTTTACTTGGTGAATGTGTTTCATTTGAGATGGATGATTCTTTAGTAATTCTCTAATTTTATCTCCTTCGTGTTTGTAATGTGGATATGAAACGGGAGTAGTAGCACTTTCATTTGTGGATAATATAATTTCTTCATTTTCTTCTTGTTTATTATTCGATGATCTCGATTGAATAGTAGGACACATCTCCGATTGAACATATTTTCGCTCATTTTTACTATTTCTCAGCGCATTATGGGATTGCGAATTCATTTTTGTTTCCTCTGGCGATTTGCTTTTTCCTGATGTTACACGTCTATCATTACTATAACTTCTTAGTCGTGCTGGATCCAGCTCATTATCCCGATTCCAATGTGCATCAGCGACACGTGTGTGCCGATCGATGACTGATGGATGTGACAATGACATTATCTCTAAGACATCAACATTTTTTTTCTCTGATTCTTTTCTCGATTGGGTACCGTATGATCGACTATAGCGTGGCGTTTTTCCATGATCTAATCCTGTAAATGTGTCTTCTGATGTGAAATCTTCTAATGTGCTCACTAACTGTGCATTATTTTTGTTATTTTGACCGTCAGTCGTATTTCTATCGGTACTTGATGATGTACTATCAACTACATCGATCAAATTGATTCTTGCTCGATCTATTTCATTTTCAATGTTAAATTTTCTATCGAGTGCTCGTGTGTGTTGATCGTTTTTTTGCAATGGTCTAGTAAATATATGTTGATCTATCTGTTTCTTCTTATCTAAATTTTTGTTTTTATCATCATACAGTTTAGTATAGAGTTTTGCCGTTTTCTCATCAATCAGTACACTATTCTTTAACGTGTTGACGTCTGAATCGTCGAGTACTTTAACCACTGATGTTTGTGAATCAAGCATTAGTTGTGATTTTACGATTTGTACATCATCATTATCCTCTAGACATCTAATGATAGTTGTATGCTTTCTTGGCGGTTGTACCGTCGATTGTGAGATTTGTATTGGTATACATGGTTCATTTTTAACAATTGTGCCTGCTGAAATGATGACATCGTCTAGTAGAATACTCATTACTTTATATTGTAATTTTAACTCTTTTTGACAATGATCAACACGATAACGATTTTGATTAATTAATGAATTTTTTTCTTGAATAATTTTCAATACAACATAGTCTTGTTGAAAATGTAATTCACGATAAGATAAATTATTAATATTTTCTCTTAAACATATTAACTGCTGCGTGTAGTGTAATTGCTTTTTAACTGGATGAACAGTAAAATCATCTTGATTCGATTGATTATCTAAATCACGACTAGAATCAATGACTTCACTGTTCAATATCTGTTTAGGATGACGATGGTGGTGGTGCCGTTCATTTCTTTCTTTACTAATGCGTTCATGTTGTCTATTACTCCACGAATATTCTTGATGAAAATCTCTTTTTAAATGAGAACATTGAATAACATCAACTTTTTTAACTTCGACTACTTGATCAAATAGTAATGAATTTGTTTTTCGATTAAAATGTTTTTGTTTCTCTGAATATTGATTGTGTTTTCCAGTGATTGCTGTTGAACTGGTTGGAAGAGATTGTGATAGTAAAGGAATTATATTACCTGATATTTCCGATAGGTGACGAGAGGGTTCACTGGACGATGATAAGCGTCGATTATCGGTAGAATATTTTTCAAATGATCGATAATATTCATATGGATTGTGATTGTTAATTATCTGACATTCGAATGGCACATTGTATTCATTATAGTCAATAAATGTATTGTTAGCATAATGCTTGTCATCATGGTGAGATACTGATGTATGTTTACGAAGATGATAGTGATGACTCTGACAATATGAATGATATGTTCGGCATCTTCTAGATCGTTGTTGTTCATATACACCATTATTTTGTTCTTCAAGTAAAAAAACTCGGTGTGAACGAAACGTTTAATTAGTATTAATGAATAGTGTCAAATAGTGGAAAGAAGCTCTCTGATAAAGAAAAAGTTTTTGTATATCATCATTCTCAATTTTACATTTATGGTTACAAAGAGCCTTTAAGACTTCGTAGGGTGTTTCACTTTTGTTTCATGGAGAATAAATAGTCTTGTAAGTACAATATTTTACATTTTTCAGCGTTACTCACGATTTTTAACAGAAGTGTTTCGACTATTACTTCTTCTCCCACATTTTCTACATAATTTTTTTTCCTGTTTATTTCTGTTTGATTCTCCATACGGATTATTATTCGATAATGATGCTAATGATAAACTCTGTTGAAAATAGTTGTTCGAGTTTTGAACATAGTGGTGTTCTACTGGTAAAATATTGTATTGTTCATTGTGATAATGAAAGTCATTGTTACCTGACACTACCCAATTATCATTACTATTATGACTATCATCGTTCGTTTGTTGATTTTGATTCGCGGTTGAGTGCCAGGTCTCTAATTCATTGAACTTCTCATGTTTATTGTAAAAATTAGGTGGATGGTAATCAAATGGTAAGTATGAATGCATTGTACACATCATCACCACACAAATAGAGAAAATGTAAAGTTGGAAGTTTTTGCTATCAGATATTAATTGTAATTAGTAACTGTTTTTCTTTTTTTGTGTTTGTCATACAAATAAAAATAATTTTATTTTATAAAAAGAAAATGTTTTTAGCCATTTTTTATCAATGACCACCATATCATGGTATTGAAAACATCTTTATTTATCATCAAGAAAAAAGAAACAAAAGTTTTAGTAGATCCAGTGGTCCGTCTTGATTTCAAAAAAAAACCTCATCATATAAATTAAAAGATTTTTTTTTTTCGTTCTGCATCAAAAACAATTGAGAGACAGTTACTGTATTTTCATCCACTACTATTCGAGAGAAAAGTATAGAATATGTATGGCGCCAATATGAATTTCTAACTGTTTCGCAAAAATCGTAAAAATTTTCTCTTAACTTAAAATATTCATCGTACTAGTCTAATAATATTTACGCCGTGTAGAATTTCTGCTCATCAACCAGTTCTTAGCTGTTACGTTTTATTATAGCAGCATATTTTTTCGCCTATTCATTAAAGTGTGTAAAATCTCAGCAGTTTTAACACGATATTTTTATATTTTCTTCTCGAAGAGTAACTCCCATAAGATTTGTAATAACTCGTTCGTTTCATTAGTACGTTGATCTTCTTGAACGTGAATTTGAACTAAAAAATACGAACATGAAAATACCTTTATAAGCCAATCAAAAAACACGAACCAAAAAATGTATTTTAGACCCTGCTCTGTTATCTCCAAATGCAAAAAACAACAACGGATCAAATGAAACTGAGAAAGTAGAGAGAGAGCTGAACTAAACACTGCCTTCTATATATCTTCAAAGCCCCGCTTTAAAACAACTTTAGGGATGAACATGATTAATGAGGGAGTTTGTAGCCTATTCCACTGTACACAATTTTTATAAGAAAAAGGAGAGATTAGTTAGCTAAAGAACAAATAACATGTCAAGTAGCAAATAACTATCGTAATAATGGAGCTACGTCATTAGGTAGACATGTACCGGTTATAACCGATAAATTCCACCTTTTTTCCGAAACGAATTATATGAAAAATAGTCAAATTACAATTTTTCTAATAACTGGATTTTGTAGAGCAAACATTTTTTTACAAGATGAACTATGGTGGAAGTCTTATATTTTCTATTTCTGCCGCAATAGCTTCGTCGACGAAGAGCCATAAATCGATTATAACCGGTGTATCCCTAGTGATTAGAAAACAATTTTTATTTTTAATTGGCAAAGAATAAAATGTATAATAAAAAATGTGGAAATTGCCAACTTTTTACATTAGGCTCAGAACTCAGTCAACTAACGTTCAGTAATCTTTAGAAAACGTACAGTGTGAGTAGATAATTTAATTTACAACAGCTTGTAACCTAGTTTGGTTTCATCGTTCAGCAAATTAGTCAACCGACGAGAGTCTCTAGTATCAAGTTTTATTTTGTTCATTATTGCTCAATGATGCATGAGATGGATAAATCGTTAATTTCTCATGTTTTGTAAATAACTATTTGCTGTGTCACTCATCGTGAATGGATAAGGTTACAGAGGAAAGGATTTAGGTTGCTAAAATACCCGAAGAATAGCGATGAGATATCATCACTTTTCAGTCGATTTAACATAGCATCATCTAGCAAACAATTATTAACAATTGAAATTCAATATTTGTATATATTATAATCCTTCAGCCAGATAATCTGGAGTTTCTTTAAATCAACGCTTGGTTTACCAGTTATTAGAGATATCCATTAGAATTAGGAATATTTATAGTGGAAGATATATCATGGTTATTTCGTGATGACGACGATGGTAGTCCAGGTGATTATTTTCATATATTAAGTTTTCTGTTTTTATGAGAAAGTTCTCTACCAGTTTTTTGCGACCCCGAGGATCATCAATTTGTATTTGTTGATTCACTATCATATCCAGGTTTTGGGATTAGAATCGTTAAATGTTTTTACTCTACTCTTGTGCACATGTCAGTGACGTAAGGATATTTTCACTTATATTAGTATTCAACAACAACTTGATATTACTGCAATATTAACTGAAAAAAACTGATATGAGATTGTTTAGTTTTTATTTCAGATGACTATCCGGACACATTATAAATTTATTATTATTTTTTTAAGTTATCTGATTGGTGCACTCATAAAACTATCATTATTACCCTCCTAGTAAGAGATGTGATAATGAATACGTGCTCTCTATATTCTTCTTCGTTTTCATTTTGTTAGTCATTCAACAGATTTTGAAGTACATCGTAACTGGCTGGCTATCACTCATAGTTTACCATTGAATCGATGGTATTTTGATGTAAGTATTAGTCGTGAAAATAATTAAACTATTTTTAAAGAATATATCTCTATTTTAAAGAATACATCTGAATGGACATTAGATTATCCACCATTTTTCTCTCATTTTGAATATGGTCTATCAAAGTTGGCACCCTATTTTGATTCAAAAATGCTTGAATTAAATAATACAAATTATGCAAGTAACAAAACTATTTTATTTCAACGTTCAACAGTTATTGTTAGTGAATTAACATTAGCAATTGCCATATATTGGTAAGTAAACAGCATATTATTTTAATTTTTACTTTATGATCTATTGTTATTCTGTATTTCAAGTTTATTGTCATCATTGCAAATTGGACGTAAAAATCATGATATAGCTCAACCAATTATACAATTATGTTTTTCTCTATCTTTATTATGCAATTTTGGACTTATTTTGGTTGATCGTACCCTTTTTTTTCTTCTAAAACTTTGGTCATTTTCAGAATATTGTTGAAATATTTGTCGTTAACACATTTTCACTAGATATTCATTTTCAGTATAACGGATTTTTACTAGGAATTTTATTATTATCAATTAACTTTATCTGCCAGGTACTATTGACTATCAATTATCAAATTCAAATATTTCTTTACTTTTCTTTACCTTCAGGACCAATTTGTAATGGGTGCTGTATGGTTTTCTATATTGCTCAATTTCAAACATCTCTTTTTGTACATTGCACCAGCCTATGTTGTCTATTTGTTTTACGGTTTTTGTATAAAACGAAGTAAAAGAATTTTTCAAGAGTATTTTGACGATATTAAAATAAAATGTTCTCTTTTCCTTTTAATAGGTTCGTCGTTGTTAAAATTTGTATCAAATATTACTGTACTTGCTTTTGCCACAATTATTCCATTCGTTCTTTCTTTTGGACCATTTATTATGATGGTAAATTAATTAGTTAGTCTTTGCTCTATACTCTGAAGTTATTTTTTATTCTTGTTTCAGAATCAATTACCTCAAGTACTCTCTCGTTTATTCCCATTCAAACGTGGTCTATCTCATGCATACTGGGCACCCAATATATGGGCCATTTATAATGTACTTGATAAATGTCTCTCATTCATTGGTAAGCAATTATTTCATATTTCAATGTTTCGTTTTATGTCATTATGTTTTTGTATAGGACGTCGATTTGATCTATTTCATGTACGTCCTTCGACTATTTCAACAACATCTGGACTTGTACAAGATATTGAACACGTTGTTCTACCATCTATAACGCCAATGATTACATTTGGATTGACACTTGCATGTATGATGGTAAGAAACAATAGAATATGAGGTTAAAAAAATCGAATCATTTTAATGTTCTTTCTCTTTTTCAGCCAAGTTTAATTCGTTTATGTCGTCATTGTTCAAAACGTACATTTATTGAAACAATTGTACTTTGTGCACTAACATCATTTCTATTTGGATGGCACGTTCACGAAAAAGCTATTTTAATTGTTATCATACCATTAACGTAAGAAAGAAGCAAATATGTCTACTTCAACTTAAAAATACTCTTCTTTTTTTTAATTTAGTTTATTGGCTTTTGATAGTCGTGAACATGCACGTTATTTTGTTTTGTTATCAATATTTGGCGGTTATTCATTGTTTCCTTTGATTTTTACAGCACCAGGTAACCTGTTTGCTAACTATACTATTTAGAAAAAGTAAAGTTATTCGATATTTAGAAGTGCCAATTAAAATTTCATTATTTGTTACCTATACATGTTTATTACTCTATACACTTGGTGAAATTCATGGGTAATATCAACAATTTCCATCTATTTTATTCTAGAAATTTGTTTTCATTATTTTTTAAAATTTTAGAGATTCGGGTGGATTTCTTCGTTTACCATTGTTGAATTATTTGGAAACATTTTTTGTCATATTATTGATACCTCATTGTCTTTATGTTGAATTTATTCATACCTTTTTGCATCTTCATCTTCTGTTACCATTTTTACCACTTTTACTAACATCACTTTATTGTTCAATACCAATTTTCTATTGTTGGATACGTTTGCATTTTATAGAATCCATAGATGATGATGGAGTATCATCATTGCAACAGACAAATGTACGTTCTCGTTGGAAAATAAAAAAAAATAAATAAAAAAAAAGACTTCACTTTCAAGCTTTTTTGCTTTACTGGTAACATTATGCAAGCCAGTTGAAACTCACTAGGCACAGACATGTTTTCGTCTATTGACATTAGCTCACGATTGTACGTAAAAATGATTTCTGCAATAACATCAGTTGTTTTAGCTATATTAGAAGTATGGTGTACAAATGGTTGAGAACGAATGGAATGGACGTTCTTCATTCAGACGATGATGTAATATTTGATTATCAATGGATAAAAACAGAAGGAACCAGAAAAAATATTAAAAGCTTTTTGAAAACGCCATAAAAAATACTTTTTGTAAGTTTAGATTGATTTGCCTTCCAGTGTATTGTCTAACTCAGCGACAGACAAAAAAATCTATTGTCCAAAAAAGTGTTCAATTTTGTTACATTATCTTTCGTTCATATTATCTCATTTTGACAACATCATCGAAAGTTCATGGTATAAATTGTCTACCTCTGCTGCATTTGACAAAAATGACTGCATCTTACAGATGAAATGTGATTTCATAAAAAAATACTTTCGACTCTTCACTGACAGGTTTTTACAGTTCTACTAACGAGGGAAAACCCCAAATTGAAAATCCCCAAACAAAATGGGAAAGTCCCATTTTGTAGAGGACATCAGACTGTCTATGTTCCATAAGTTTTAGTTTTCAAAATATGATTGAACGGTGCTATGATCTTTACAAAGTATCCTACTGCAACATTTTTTCCATCAAAACCAGCGTAGCCGCTCTTTTGGAAAATTTTCCTACGCTGTTGGTTTTTGTTTTGAAAAACTAAAACTTATGGAACATAGACAGTTTTGTGTCCTCTGCAAAACAGCCGATTCAGAAAAATGTTTTGAATTTGGTCCCTAATTTTTGAAGGACCAGTTTTCACAAAACCGGTCAACAAAAGCCTAAGGACAACTCTGATGTTCATATTTGGAATCAGCATCATCAATTATATATAGTCCACTTAGGTTCATCGAAAAAACGATTAGTTAAGAGTAGTTAAAAATACTTTTTCGTCTCATAATAACATCATCACCTTAGTTAGAAACGAACGAAACTATTTTTATAACTTTGTTTTTCTGTCCAATAGAAAGGTGATTTGGTTGCTGTTTTATGCTGTACAGATTTTAATTTATGTTTCTAATTGAGTATAATATTCATACACCACTTACGTAGTCATCATAACTGTGATTTTTCTGCTTTATACTTTCTATTACCGTCTTCTTTCCCACAGTGGACAACAATGAACAAAAGACAATTCAAGATTTCAATTCCGATTATATCTATAATTTCATAATAGACATTCCTGCATTTTGCTGAATTTTTAACGTCACTCGACACCAAATACTCGCTGTGTGGCAGCCATAAAAACACGTAGATTTCCTCGGAAGGGTCCTGTGAATGTAATTCAAATTAATTATACAAGTATAATAATTGGTTTACATACAATTTGAAACCACTCATTATCTACTCAATTAGAACATATTTTTTAATGACAAAGAATCAAACTACTAACAAAAAAATGCTTCTGATAAGAAAAAAATTAGAAATGCTTCTGGCTTCTTTTTTCTGCCTGCTCTCTTTCCTACCTCCGCTTACATGAACAGAACATTAGAATACTTCGAGGTAAGAGATCGGTAAAACTTTTGGTTGGAAAAGCTTGCTATTGAACATGATGGTAGATCGAACATTTTTCTATATGCTGATGTGAAAATCTCGTAAAAATGTCTGGTAGTTTTCAAGCCAGATCCAAAAGTCGGAGAATTCTAATCGAAGTGAAGAGAAGCGCTTCACTTTTATGCTTCGGGTGAAAATGAACAGTCCATTCAAATACATATAGTTCTGACGCACAATTTACTGTTAATGGAGCCTGAGAGATAATTAGTTCAGAACTACCCCATATTATAGTCCGAATCCTTTTCTCTTTACCATTGTTTAAACTCATTGAGCTAATTAGTAAACAATCAGTTGTACTTAACTTTTTCTTTTTTCTATACACATTGGAATAGAAAGAGACGCACGAATGGGACTCGCCGACTTTTCAATCTGACCTGAAAGCTACCATACTTTTTCATAAGATTTTTGTGTCAACATATAGAAAAATGTTCGATCTACCACGATGTTCAACAACAAGTTTTTCCGATCAAACACGGCTGAGAAATAGTGAAAATATGAAAATTTCAAAAGGTGGATATATAGTGTGCTATTACAATATCTTTATTATGTTGTTCGTCTTAACCGCAGTTTTCATTCACAAATATTGGATCACTATCAATCAAAGTTAAATGAATAGCTCCAACTATGGTGTAGTTAAATAATTTTCAAAACATACAATAGATGGAAAAAGAGATGATCATACGGTTTTATATTTGATTTTTCTTCTCAATCATATAGTTAGACACAAACCTGAAAAAAGATCTAAATACTTGAAAAAGTTGCCTATCATAATGTATGCCTTTTCAGAGTTTTTATAAACAAGATTTCTAGAAAACTAGATATCAAAGTTTGACATCAATTTTTTTTTCAAATAACTCGGTCGCATAGATGTCTCATTTTGTTCAGAAATGTCTGATCTATGCGATCCAGTTATTTGAAAAACAATTGATGTTAAACTTTGATATCTAGTTTTCTAGAAATCTTGTTTATAAAAACTATAAAAAAAATTCTCAATGAGAAAAATTAAACATTAAAGTGTACAATCACTTTTGTCCATCCAGTGTATATTACTAATCTGATAAATAAAGAGTTTTATACTGTTAAATGTTTTCTTAACAATTTTAATTTTTAAAGTTTTGATTAAAGCATTCTATTAGACAGACATTAAAAAGTTTTATGTTTTAGTTTTGACTCAACTAAATTCAAACTAGATTTTATATTATTTTTCTACATTTATTGTGATGGTTCACTGTTAAAAATGTAATATATGTTTTCTGTTTTTACAATCCAGATAAATGATCAAATAGTAATATATGACTAAGAAAAATTCAGTATATAAAATGTTCTACAAATTGATGGAGAAGAAGAACAGAAAATTCAACTGTTACACTCATTCTTTTTTCACTTAAAAAATAGGTAACAAAAAATATAGCAGATAAATTTAATCCGAATTATTTAATCTGCTTGTCATATTTCTTTAGTCTGAATCATTTCGATCTCTTTTTTTATTTTTTTTATTTTTTGTTGATAAAACATGGATGGACAAACTTTCTTTCTCTCATACTCAATTGATTTTTCTCGAACATGACTACATGTCTATCAGTTTCGGCGATTCAGTTAAAATAAAAATTCATTTTTTTTCCAATATGCCCATAGTTCGTGCATGTTAAATTGCTTTAAACGTTCATAATTAATATTATATCGAAAAAAAAAATGAAGACGTATAAAATATATAGAAATTTTGCTCGTTTCTTATTCCAGTATTCCTTAATCAAAGCAAAATTGAACTGTCATTTCTTATATTATCAATAACATTTTTCTTCTTTTCTTAGTTTTTATTATTCTATTCTATTTATTTTTCATGTTTTACCTTATAACTCTGATTTTATAGTAAGCAGCAAAAATCAAATATGAAAAAAAACGTTTTCATTGTCATAGAGGAATAAAAAAATCAAAAATCAAATGGTTTTACTTTCCCATATGAAAAACTGAATAGAAGATACACACAGCAGCAACAAAAAAAAAAAAAAGAGAGAGAGAGAGAGAGAGAGAGAGAGAAAAAGTAAACGAGGAAAAACCTTCATGAATTTGATGTTTTTCTTCTATTTTATTATTGATGAATGTTAAACAGCACTTTAAAGATGCTGCAAGAAAATATTATTACATTTCATTGTTCATAAGATAAATAATTATCATTGAGTTTTTCCTTTAAATATAAAATTTTTCATCTTTTTTAAGAAAAAAAGCGAGAAAAAAAAACAAACAACAGTACAAAAATCGCATTCAAATATGGACAAGATGAGCGCACAAACGAATAATATAAGTAAGAATTCGTCTCTTTTCTATTTCCGTTTTATTGTTCATCGACAGCACTTTTAAAAGGCATAATCGATTTCTCAGAAATTAAATTTCATAGATGAGTTAAGATTTTAAAATAAAAAAAAAAAAAAGAAGAAAAATAAAACTATTTATTTGTTATGACATTTTATCATCTCAACTTTTAAATAGTCATCTTTAGATTTTTTTTTTTTTTCTATCATAAGAGTAGTGAAAAAGAAGCCATCATCATCAAACGTCTATACATCTATTTATGATATCTCTTTTAATAAAAATTTTCTTTTAAAAAAATATTAGCAAAAATAGACTTAAAAGAGAATTTATTGTTGTTGGTTTTTTTCAAATTTATTTAAAATTCGTTTCATGAATAAACGTGAGCGATCTCATACTAGACACAAATTGAATGAGAGAATGTGTAGATTATTTTATATCTATTAATATTAAGAGATGAAAATCTTTTTTTTTGTGTTTGTCGTCAAATAGTTATCGTAAATAATTTTTTAAGTTTTATTAGAAATTTTATTATTTATTAATATTAAATTTAGAACCTTATTCTCATCCTTATCTACGTCGTGCAAGTGAAATGGTTCGAAAAACATTGTGTGGCGTTATTGAAAGTTCAGCAGATTATGAATTAGCTGCTGAAGATATTGCTGTTGTTACTCTTTGCGATATAACATTATATGAAGTACAACGTGTTGATTTTCCACATATTCCTCAACGATATATTATATGTAAAACAAAAATTGACGATTGTGAATATTTTCCTATACCATTTACGTTGTATTATAACGCTGAAGAAATCGATCATAATCTTTGTTATGGTATTCGTGTTGATATATTAAACGGTGAAAATCAAATTAAATTTAGTTCAGAAAAATTTATTCCCGTATTAACCGATAAACATCCGTTAACAAATGTTAGAATTATGGTTACACCAACATCAAATCATAATATACCAAAATCTTATCATCAAACATAAAAATTGTGAAATATATTCATTAGAAACAATATTTTCATACTATTGGTAAATCATCTGTTGTGATGAATAGAAGATTTGTATATTTTTTTGTCTAATATTATGTTCTTGTGTCTATGTTATAAAAAGAAAAACAAAAAACACTCTGCTTTTTCTTATCGTTTGTCATATAATGATACCAAAAAAAAAAAAAAGAAAGAAAAATACGAATTGTCGTTTTTGTTTGCTTATTCGTTTGAAAAATAAAATTCTATTTTTCAACAACGTTTACTGTTGTAAGATTGATCTTCGTGATATTCGGATGAAAATATACTTTATACAATTGTTCTCCCTTTTTAAAATTTCAAATTTTTGACTGTTTTACATCATCCACACAAATCAGAATCCGATCTTTCTTGGCCAAAATCTAAAATGAACACACTACATTTTTAATTTCATCTTTTGTTCACTCAAACATATTTTTTGACATGATAGAAGAGCAATAAACTTGTTATTCAATGAAAAAGATACTTTTCGTCACTAGAACATCTCTCCCTAAGAAAAATAAATGACTTTTTTTATATTCCTATTCTCAAACAAAACGACATAAAAATAAAAAATATCAGTAACAAATCACAAAACAAAAGAGACAGTATACAAAAAAAAACTTTCTAAATCAATGAATAAATAGGTCACGTGTAAAAAAGAAAACATTAATAGGGTAGAATAAAAATATCTTGAGTTTTTTTCGAAACAAATATCGTACATACGATTGATTATGCGAGAGAAGAAGAAGAAGAAAAAAAACAAAGAAAAAAAGTGAGATTAAAGACAGAGAAGATGACTACAAAAAAAATGTAGTATTAAAAACAAGAAAACAAAAACAACTCGACTACAAATTACTCGTTTTGTTGTTGTTTTTTTTATTATAAATATATAAAGAAGAAAAGAAAAGTTAGAAATAAAAAATAAATACCTATCGCTCAAACTATAGAGAAGAAAAATGACTTCTCTCTCGCATAAGACATTATTTCCATTTTAAACTACGTGTAAATTCAGCTAGAGCGGATGGTACTTCATTTGGAGATGTGGAATCAGCAACAACATCGCGTACAGATTTATTCGCATATGGATTCAGAGCGGATACACGTATAAATGTACTTGTTTTCATAATTTTTTTGACTGTATTTGGAGTTGGTGTGACTAGTTCAAATGTGGGTGAAGATGGAGGAGTTGGACAAATATCTGATCTCCTAGTTGTCATTGTTATTGTGGGAGAAGTAATAGTTTGTGTCTCTTCATTCAACGGCATATTTGTTGTCACAGATGAAGTTAAAGATTGAATTGTACGAAATGATAGACCAACAAGACGTTGCATAACTTGATTTAATAATACATTCGTTTGTAAATAGGAGTTTTGAATTGGAGTTGATGGTGGTGTCTCAGGAGATTCATTATCATCATCTGAATCAAATAGTAGACAAGATGTGTTAAGATTTAATGATGTCGGTTTCGAAATCGAATGACTAGATGACTGTGATAAAAGATTATGGGATAATAGATTTTTTTGAATTTCTCTCATTGAGTCAATATTTGTTGATGTTGTCTCGTATGACGATGAAAAATTGTTGATCGGAGACGAATCAATTTGTTCAAATGTACGAGCAGTTAAACCACGATCTTCAAGTAACTGTAATAAAGCCATGCGTTTTGTGCTAAAAGATAGAAATATATTACAAATACACTTATAACTTATTCATTTACCAATTACCTATCATTTGAACAAGATATTGATATTTCTTCTTGGTCTTTTTCTTCTGACAGACGATAACAAGATATATCTTAAACATATAAAATATAAAAATTATATAAATGATCTTTGATTTTATTATTAAAGACATTTGTCTACACCTCTTTACTACAAACTTTCTTTGCTTACCATCGTCTATTGTTTGGTCATTATCCACGTATGTTTCATCTTCTTCTTTCAAACCTTGTAAAATTTCTGCTCGTGTATAAACACCCGGTATAGATTGAAGACAAGATGAAAAGGATGGAGTGGCCAGTTCTTGCCATCGTTTTAACATGACTGATCCTTAAAAATCATAGAAAGTAATTCTTACATGCACTATCATTGCATCAAAATAATAGAGAATGAAGATACAATCAATGATGATAAAAATTAAAATTTTATTTACCTTCCAAACGTTTTACAAGTCGTAACCTTGAAGATAAGGAGGTTGGTAATCTTCGAGTTCCTGGTGAGAACGAGGAACATGAAGTTGTTAATCTTGAAATGTAAAAAGTATATTTATAAAAAATTTTATCAAACGTTAGAATAAAAATAAATTTGCAAGCACAAATCACATGAAACGTACCTGCTCGGCTGATTTGAATCTAATTTTTCTTTGAATTCACGGTGACGACAAGACGATACACTGTAGGCAAAGAAAAAATAAAGCTTGTCACACGCACGCACACGCGTAATTTTACATGCAAAAATCACCATATAACTAAGCTATAAGCTTTGATGCAACAAGATGTTTGTGTAGTATTCTAACCTGCTTAAACTTTCGGTATCACTGTAGGCTGAATCGTTAATTGACGAATCATCCGTATCACTTCGACATTTCTGACGACGTTTATAATTTTGTTCATCCATTTTTCTTCAACAATAATTGAATATTGAAAAAACAAGTTATATCAATATATTAATGTGACTTACATTGATGATTCTGTTAATGGTGTAGGATATAACTCATACGGATCAATATCAACTTCTTCCAATTCATATTTTAACGAATTTTCCATACCTAAATAATGAATATGAACAGTTTTTAAACAAACAAACACATGACAGTCAAAATATATACCCATAAAATTAGCATAGTCTGTCGGTGACAAAAATATTGTTTGATGAGTAGGTTGATGAAAATTTTCATTGATTGTTGTGGATGATGATGATAATGATGATGTTAAAGCTTTTTGTTGTAATAGGAGTACTTCGGATTGTGTTTTATGTAATTTTTCAACACAATCTGCATAATTTTTTTCAAGTTCTTGAATCTAAATATATCCACAGAAAAAATAGTGATCAAATATACAAAAAAAAGAAAAGATGAATTTTTGTTCGACATACTTTAAATTCATATTCTTGCTTGCTTTTTCCGCTTAATAATAGTAATACTTTTAATTCTTCATTTTCTTTTCTCAACTCGTAAAGACGACGACGTACTTCGCGCATCTAAATTAAAAATAGTTTCTGTAAGTTTCTGAACATATTCACTTATTTAATTAAAACTATTGACTACGTTAGTGTTCAATTTGTTAATATTGTGTAGAATGTACAATTAAAACTACAAACCTCATATGATATTCTTGTTATTTCTTCTTGTTGTCGATTATTCTCATCATTTTTCTTAATTAATTCTTGTTGAAAATGATCAACTTGAGCATTAGCATTTGCTAAATATAAATTAAAAAATATGAAATTTGAAAAATATTTAAAATTTATGTCTTACCAAGTGCATTTACACAATTAGTGACAATAGTTCGTTCTTTTTGTTCGAATGTATCAGTATCCGATCTCAATTCTAATGTTTCTGCTCTTAATTCACGATTTTCATATTCTAAATTGCGAATTTTTTGTTCAAAATGATGAGTATCAAAATTTCTAAAAAAAAAAATGCAATAGATAAATTGAACATCTTTTGTACTTTATACATAAAAGTAACTAACTAACAAAAATAATGATATAACATAAATTTGATTTGATTAATCGATAAAAATGAATTCAATTTTTTTCACTTTATTTTCTGATAATATAAATTATTACCTTTCTTCTACTGGTATCATATCTAATTCCATATCACCATAAAAACGTATTAAACGATCTTTGAGTAATAAATCATGTTTTAATTGCCGAACCATTTCTGTTGTTTGTTCAATATCTTGTTCCAATAAATTAACTTGTTGTTTTAATTGATCATTACTTTCTAATAATATTTTACCAAATCCAGCGGCAACATTTAAATCTCTTTCACGTTCTTCTAACAATCGTGTAACAGCCTCTAGAGAAAAAAAAATTTTCATCAAATTAATTATTATTTAGTATAATTTGTTGTTATTTTTTTATGTACCTATATCATGGTAAGTTTTTGTCATCTGGCTAATTCTTTGACCGGAAGACACTAAAATAAAATAAATTAGACTTCATACACATACATATACATACACACTTCAAAAAAAACAGTAATGAACAAATACTTATTTTTTCATTTCGAATGAAAAGAAGAGTAAATTAGTGTCATAGAATATATCATATCAAATTACATTTTAAGTTATACTCTCTCTCTATATATCTAAGACGATCTAACATTCTACTCTAGAAAAATTTCATTTATATATATATATCATTATCACAGTGTAAAAAAAAGAAAATCTATTCATTTATCGTTGAGGACCAGTGATAAAAATAATTCTTTTTCAATTTGAATTTGAATGATCTTGAATTTTAGTTAAAACAAAAGACAAAACATTTTACTTCATCATGATAAACTTTGTTTACAAGGTTAATAAAACATTTTTTTTGCATGAAGATAAAAATTATTTCTCTTCTATGACAATATTATATTCATGTTCAATCTAATGAGAATAGATGTAATTACAAACCATAATTTATATATAAAAATAATATTTATCACACAAAGAAAATAAAATTATATCAACTGACAAAGGTTATAATTATTCTTTCTTCTTCTAAAAGTAAAATACGCAATAACAAAATAAAAACCACATATTAAACAATTCTTAGAAATAGAATCATTTTTTTTTTTTTATTACCAGTAATTATCATAATGAATAATGATTGAGAAAAATAGAATAGAATAATATTGAGCTAAATAAAAAATAAGGTAAGAAAGAGATATTTTCTTTTTCTAATATATATATATTTTTTTGTTTTGTTTTCGTTGTTTAATCAGTATTGAGTTTAAAAATGACAATATTGTATGTTATTATAGTGTAGTCAATAATTGTGTCAGTAAATGCAAATATACACAGTTTCATTCAAGATGGCACTTATTATTTTATATTTGTACATATATACAATTTTAATGGTTAATCGAGAATGTCAATATATTTTAATGATTAAAATATGATACAGGTTTTAGAATCATTATTGTCAATATATTTAGTAACGATTTATAAAATATCTTTTCATGTTTTAAGTTTTCAAAGATGACAATTATATAGAATAAGAAGAAGAAACAAAAACCTGTTTATTCTACTACATCGGATAAATGTTGAACGCACTGTCGTCAGCTTAGATGTTTCTTTTTTTCTTCTTCTTCTTCTTTACTTTTATGGTTTAGTGCAATTAGTCATAGATAATCTTTCTGCTCTGATGATGTATTTCCTCTATGCCAATAGTATATCGAATTTTTTTTTTTGTTCGTTCTCTTTCTCTCTCTCTTCCTCCCTCCTTCTCCTTCTTGTAATCTTATCATTTTTGTCATATCTAGGTCTTATAGTGGTGCTTATCAGTCAACAATAATCTTTACTAATTTTTTATTCAAAACCAATCGTACTAAGGTCAGAACAAAAATCTAAATATTAAACAGTGGGAAAAAATCATATGTCATGTTGAAGACACCGTCATAACTTGAGTCTACAAAGCACCGATTTTTTGACATTTATATGGCAAAGGATAAAAACATACTAATATACTTGACAATATGATGTAATAAATAATGGGAAATGAAACTTTCATTTTTATAAACACAGCGGCATAGTAAAGAAAATGGACAATTATAATCAATAATATAAATAATTATTATCTAACAAACTGTGTGCACATATGTTCAATAAGGAATATGAAACTTATGTGTTTATTTAACAAGTAAATCGTTTACTTACGAAAATAATCCAGTGTCAATTGTATTTCTTCGTTTGAAAATCCTTCAATATCTGAACTATTAATAATTGGTGTTTGTATAAAATCTTGATTTGTACAAGAAAATTCGGTATCAGCACGCAAAGTATAACGAGGCAATGTTTCGTTTATTAAACTAATCACTTGTACTTCGGGTAAATTTGATTCTGTATGAATGTCTAAATTTAAAAAGTAAAAAAGTTACATTTTAAAAGAACATATTCATTGGAAACATGAAATTTTTTAGTCTATTGTATGACAAAATAATGACAAGATATTCTTCTGCTCATCTGTAATATATACGTGAGAATATGGTATAAACGACTGTACAGTTAAACAATATACGAGAAAATGAGAAAAATTTTAGGTATTTAAAATAAAAAAAAAAGAGAAAAAAGGCGATAGTAAAGAGCAAATGAACAAAACTATCAAACAGTCATTCACTCAGTCACATATCCACTATTCATACTGGCACTTGTTAAAAGCCTTCTTTCTCTTTTGTCTGATAATAGTTCGTCAAGAACAAATCCATTTGTACTAATGTATAGAACAAATTTATATATATATATATATATATCAGTATAAATGAAAGGTCAATGTTTGCTAACAATTGATTGTTCAACAGACCATTCGTTCAACAAGGTTAGGATCAATATATGACATGTTATCTCGTTACTTCAGTCAAAACGATAATTTTCTCTATAAATGGTTCAAACACAAATAGAATGACTTATTAAAAAAAAAGTATAATGAGATTGAAATTAATACAGACAGCCTTGCTGCTGCAAAAGTAAAAACCTAGACTTGACATTAAAAATTCACATCGATTTTTAACTCAAGACTTAAACATTTGATCAAAAGTGAATAGTTAATATGAAACATTTCTACTAATCAATCTTAATATTTTTATTGATTTATAACATTTACTAATTACTTTATCAACTATTTTCCTTCTAATATCACTCTTTTGAAGATATTATCGGTAAAGAAATCGAAAATAGTATCATAATAACGTTGTCATACATAACATATAGAAAAAATTTTCTTCTCAAATAAGTATTTATCAAACAAGATCCATTATTAATTCTTTTTAGCTGAAAAAAAATATTTCGTGCCAATGAAACTCATTTCTTTCTTAAGCTCTTTGAATAACGATAATTTGAATTAAAAAAAAAATGTTTATGGTTTCAAAAATGAAACAAAAGTACTTGGACATACTATTTTCATACAATGAAAGTCAAGTATAGAATTGAAACTAAACTTTTTTTGACAAAAATAAAATAAAACTCAACTTTACTTATACTTCAGACGATAATAAAAAAAAATTGTTTGATGAGTATGGTAATGGTCACCGTGTCAAAGTTAAGACTATACGCAATAAATATACATATATATGTATAACAATATCTATATATAGATTATAGATATATATAGATAAAAAGCAAAAGAGAGGGAGAGAGAGAGAGAAAGATCAATAGATAGATGAATTTATATGCGCTTATATTGAGATCAATGAAAAATAAAATAAAAGTGGAATCAGTTCAACACTAGTATCTAATAATTTTCGTGAGATGTGAGAGAGAGAGAGAGAGAAAAAAAATTAATAAAAATGTTTACATAGTGGAATATAAGAAAACGAGTGCCACGTTTTTTTAAAGGCTACTGTCACCTAACTTGATCTTACAACAAAAAGTGTCGATGTTAATCTACTTTCATATGAACAAGTTTTTTATTATTATACATATTAGAAAAGAGTAAACCTACCTAAAAAGAAATTAGTCTATCGACTATATGTGTGTGTGATGCACGAAGACAATATTTTTACAATAATTTTCGTTACCTCGCATATTAAATTAATTTCGTTGATGATATCGATATTGATATCGACTATATAGACGGAGATCAATTTTTATATTTTGGATATTTACGTAAGAACAATTAAAATAAATGAATTATGAAGGCACACACCAGATTCAAGAATAGTTTCTTTTTTTTTTCTTGTTTTTATAGAACAATGTTTAATTGTAACCGAAGGAAATCAGAACAACATACTATTGAAAAGTTTTCAGAAAACTAATGATCTCATGTTTGTCTCAAGGAGATAAATCGAGGCACTTTTGCAAGTATCTGTATACATCTTGAAAAGAATTTTGCAATGCTTAAAATAAAAGACACTATAATTTTTTATTTTGACATTGAAAAAAATGTTCATTTTTAAAATTTGTGATTAATTATAAAAAAAATAAATGATTTATTATTCAAAAATTAATATTGTTTCTCTTACCAGTTATTGTTTCACAATCGATTTTCGACAAAGTCTGACATAGCGAGACGTCGGTCAATGCCGTCTCGGTGTCAGACTTTTCATCTGACATACAAATAAGTACACGATTCTTAGTGTGATAAATGATTTTTGTAAAATCAGGATAAAAAACGGCTTTAAAGCCGCATCTAGAATAAAATAAATAAAATCCATCAGTCATTTATTCATTAGACAAGTTTATAGTGTAAAAAAAATTATTATTCTATAAAATCACTTACTAAATCTACGAGATGAACGAATCGATTTATAGAGCGCAAGTAAAATAGAACATTATCATAGGTTAACAAAACAAGTATCATAAAACACACTTATAAAAGAAGAAAATATGATCGATAATGAAATAATTATATCGAGTAATATGATATGGATAGTAATAGAGCTTTTTCAAAACACAAAGTGTTGTTGTCCTATACACTAGATACAAAACTAGAATTTTGTTTTGTTCTACAAAAAAATGACAGTTTTAATACTTCAAATAAAAAAATTTATGTGTACAGAAAGTATTTTATATTGAGTTTTAACAAAAGTTAAATAAACAAATGAACCAGAGAAATGAGAGACTTGTCAGTTGATCATTTAAAAAACCAAAATCACAGTCAATGAAATCGTTCAAGCATTACGCTTGAACACTTGAAATGAACGTTTTACTCAGGAATGTAGAAATCACGCAAGTTTGTAAATATTAATCGTATCTATGAGGGAAATAAATGTACGCTTCAATTCGATATTACTATAACGGAATTATATGTCTCTCAATATTAGTTCAATATTTATGATTGATAGTATATTGCCTGATCACAATTATTATGATTCGACAGTAAACCTTCTGTTTTTCATCCATAAGTGTATGAACCATTAACCTTCGATTATTCTCGAAGAGACAAAAGAAAAGTGATCGTGGAATAAATAATAGTTTTTATAACTGCAGGTACTTCTCATCACAAAAAGTCAATTATTTATTTTTATTACAAACTACTTTAGTATGAACACACTTGATTAACACAGAACAAAAATATAACAGAATTATTTAAAACATAAAAATGTGTGAAATTTCACAACCACTCAGCATTTATATATTGGTATGATGACTGTAAAAAGTGGAAAACATTTATCGAATTTTATAACGTTAGAAATAACAAAATATCATTCTCTTCCGGCAATAATTGCTATAACATTACAAAAATAAATTGCACGCTAACAACTAACTTTTTCTTGAAAAATTTTCTAAAAAGAAGTCTGATTGTTCTATTATGTCAAATTATCCTTTTCTATACATAACACTATCAGTCTATCCAATTCGATGAAGAATTTAATTCTATTATTGAGATTAGGAAACAAAATTATGTTAAAACGAAAACATATGTTAACTAGAAACACAATCACCAAAAAACGATACCTTGGAAACAATGTATCTCCAGAAAGATAAGAACTATTGTCTGATGAAAAAAATGAAATTAATCTGTTAGAAAGTTTTCGGTATGTAATTTCAATAATTCTTATTCTATCAAAAGTTTAATAGTTTCCATTTTTCATTATAATCTCACTCTAAGACTAAGACTAAGATTGTTTATTCACGAAAAGTGAGAGTCATCAAAGGTCATCGACCTGTAGTAACAATGACTCAAGCCAAACAACACCAAAATAATAATAAAAGAAATAACAAAATAAAGAAGACAACTAAGATTAGAACCAGAAGTAGTAAAATAAAACAAAAATTTTTAAAAAAAAAGAACAAGCATAAATGCTTAACTGACAAGCGTTTTACTGGAAGAGATACTGAAGTAAAGCTGTTTTGAAAGACATAAGAGAAGAAAGACAAATAACTGACTCTGGGAGATTATTCCAATCAGTAATAGTTGAATAAAAAAAAGAAGAATGCACCGTTTGTGGAGAAAAACTAGATACCTTGAATCTGACCGGTTTTAGTTTCTGCTCAAAGTAAAAAACAATAACAAGAAAACGATAATATATACGAACAAATTTGTGTTAAATTGCCTACTTGTAACTTAAATGGCTAATTTTTAAAGACTTTACTTTCTAAGCAGAATAAGAGCAATACTTAGACACCGGCAGCTTGACCTTACTGTAACAAATACGGGATCAAGAAAGAATTTATGAACCACTTTACAGATTTAATCTAATAAGCAAGAATGAGAGAGGCAGATGAAACGCTGATTGATTAACAATGTTGTTTGTTATTTTTTTTTCTATTTGATTATGATAACGTCACATTAGTTTGTTTTCTGTCCATTTAGAATTGTGTGCATCTCTTTTACTAAGAAGCTATCTCCAGAACCCAATTCATGTCTAATAGTAGTAAGATATTGTAGTTATAGATGATACGCGCTTATAGCGAAGAAGAAAAGAAAATATGTTTTTATATTAGCGACATCAGGCATACGATTGCCTTCTTGCACTAGCTAATCAAATGCTTTATTTTTATTAAAAAAAACGTGCTAAAAACGTGAACTAGAAATCTGATGATCATACAGATGTGTGTCGATCTTAATTGAAAAAGGCTACAGGTTTTTTAGCAAAAAAGATATTAGGTCAGTACCGAATTTAAGTGTACTATGGTCGTCGGATTAGCAACACAAATTAGAAAATAATTTTCTACTATTTTACTTAGTTTTTTAATTAGTTGGAGGAAATATTTTTATGCACGTGAAAGTTCATTTGAACTAGATATTTCTCCGTAAATTTTACCAATAAGGGAATTTCAAGATAGTTGTTGTTTTGTATGTTCGCATGATTGACTCGGTGATTGGTATCGAACTAGTTGACTTGCACAAGAGTTTTTCAATATTTATAAAGTGGATGCATTCGGTACTGATAATGGTTTCTGACAAGCTTGAAGTAAAGATTGAGGAAGTTAAGCTTTATAGGAAGTGTGCCAGGTTGATAATGAATATCAGCTTCAGGAAGCACATGATAAATTGAATTTGAATCTGTTCTCTTCAAAATTATTTTACTTCATTTTGTTGACGTTTTGATAATGACGTTGAATTTATCAGAAATTATGTCCGTTTGGTAATAATACACAGGAATAAAAATAGAAATATATTGGTCTAGTAAAATTTTCCTTTTTTTCTACTTTATGATTTTTGTTGATTGATAACAATACCAGAACAGGGAAAATTTTACTAGACCAATATATTCCTATTTTTATTTCTGTGTATTACCAAATGGACATGATTTCTAATAAATTCAATTTCATTGTCAAAACGTCAACAAAATGAAGTAAAATACTTTTGAAGAGAAGAAAGAGTAAATAGATTACAATTCAAGTGAATACCAGTTTCATGTTTTGGTTCTTTTTCCGATCTATAAACCGGATGGCTAATCAATCAAATCAACGAGCAATTCAGCTCATTTTACAATATGCAAAGCAATTACGTACTAAAGTTCCTGGTGATTTTGATCCCATATTATCGGCCATTGGTGATGCAAAAGTGGTGATGATTGGTGAAGCAAGTCATGGTAGGCAGGATTTTATATTGTGTCGAAAATTGTATTTTGCTCAATCAATTTCATTACAGGCACGCATGAATTTTATGATAATCGTGCTGAATTAACAAAACGTTTAATAAAAGAAAAGGGTTTCACTGTTTTGGCGTGTGAAGCAGATTGGCCATGTGCTTGGAAAGTGAATCAATGGGTAAAAGGAGTTTCGACAAATGAAAAAAATGCAGAAGAAGCTTTGGGAGAATTTCTTCGTTTTCCACGTTGGATGTGGCGAAATAAAGGTGAGAAATACGTTTCTGAAACGATGATAGACATAATAAGAGAGAATAAAATGTTTTTGTTTTTATTTTGTTTTAGTTGTTCAAGAATTTATTACTTGGTTAAAAGCTCACAATGAAATGGTAAAGGATAGAAAACAAAAAACAGGATTTTATGGTATTGATCTATATAGTTTACAAGCGAGTAGAGACGAAGTGATTAAATATTTAGAAAAAGTGGATGGAGGTAGAAGAAATTGTTTTTTACTCAAGTATTATTTATTTAATATTTACATCTATTTTAGAGTTGGCTAAAAAAGCAAAAAAGAATTATGGCTGTTTCGATCGTTATCCAACAGAAGAGTCATATGGCTACAGTTCAGCCTTGGGATTATCTCTAGGTTGCGAAAAAGAAGCTATTACAATTCTGAAACAAATGTTGGCTAAACACGCTAGTACAATGGCTCAAAACAAGAGTCAAGATGATTATGATGATTCGTTTTATGCTATGGAAAATGCAAAAATTGTTAAAGAAGCAGAAAAATACTACCGACATATGTTTGAAGGTGGTGAAATAACTTGGAATATCCGCGATACCCATATGGTTGAATGTTTGCAAGATCTATTAAAACATATTGGTGATGGTGCAAAAGCTGTTATTTGGGCGCATAATTCTCATCTTGGTGATGGTCGTGAAACAGAGTCTAAACGGTCAAAAGAAGTAAATATTGGACAGTTGGTACGTCAACGATTTGGTTTAGAAAATACGTTTAATATTGGTTTTACTACATATACGGGTTCAGTAACAGCTGCAGACAGTTGGGATATGGGTAGGTATTTATAGTCAACAATTGAAAAAAGAAATTAGATATTTTTATTATTCATTTTAGATCCTGAATTCAAACGTGTTAAACCATCATTGAAAGATTCTCATGAATATTTATTACACGAAGCATTAATTACAAGTGATACCAAAAATGCAAAATCCCACTTAGCTAGTAATGGTCAATATTATTTATTATTTCGTTCAAATAGCAAACAACAAGAAGATACTAATAGTATTTCAAAAGAACTGAATGATTTATTACATGAAAAACGATTAGAACGAGCTATTGGTGTTATTTATAGACCAAATACAGAAAGACAATCACATTATTTTGATGCACATTTATCAACACAATTTGATTGTGTCATTCATATTGAAACAACAACGGCCTTAGAACCATTGGAAACACATCCACAATGGATACAAGGCAAAACTGATCATGTACCGGACACGTTTCCAATGAATGTTTGAATTATGAACTATGAACTAATTCACTTACTTAATCAAGCAAAGATTATTACTTAGTTACATTAATCATGTGTTTTATACATTCATATTTTCGACCCTAATTAGACGCTATTTTTTAGACGATTAAATGAAACTTAGACGTCTTTGAATAGTCGTATAATGGAAAAAGTATTTATTTGTGAATGATCATTGTTTTTTATCATAATGTAACCTGCATGATTAGAATAATAGTTCATCATAGAAAAGATCTAAAAGTAAAACATCTATTCTAGTTCTAATTTGAGGTTCAACGAAATGAATTACCGAGCAATATTGGATCGAACCATACTTTTATAATTAGCACAATATTTACTGTATCAGTTGTATCAAATTACAATTGTGTAGATCCATAATTCTCATTTTAAACAAAAATGTAATCGATTATATTCATTAGAAAATTATTCATATAGTAGTAGTAACAAGATGATGGAATTATGATTTTTGATTAAAAATGTTCAACAGAATGATGTAGAGGGTAAAACAAGCTATCGATTAAACGTCAAAAAAAAAATTAAAAAGAAATAGCGTGAGTACACAACAGAAGAAGTAACATAAGAGATCTTTCTGGAAATTTCAGGATCTTTGTCTGAAAGTAAGGAGATTTTCAGACTTTTCTTTCGAAATTTTGACTAGAAATCTCACTATTATCTCAGATCATGTGTTTGTGCAGCAACAGATAAAATATTGCTCACAACAGTGACACTCAGGAGTATCATTTATCGTCAATTTTCTACACTAGAACTGGTAATACTCACTTAGTAACTTATATTGTTCCGCTTTATACATACTCTACGATATCCTCAGTGAATGATGATGACTATTCAAACATGTAGAAGTTTATGAGAATCAAAGGTTTGTTTTTTTGAATTTTTCTTTCATATATTTTTTTTCTTAAAAAATTTTTCTATATGAGAATGTTTTTTCTTTTTGCAGTCATTGTACAGTTTACACAAGTCTTCTTTACTATCCTTTTGTTAATCGCACATTTATATATTACAATTATGCCACTAACAAACAATTTTAAACGTACGTCTCTGATCACCTCATCTTTAACACTTATTATAATTCTACTTTTTTTTATTGATGTGAAACATTTTTTATATATTTCTGCTATGCGTTTATAGTTCTACGAATATGTTTGTTTCATTTTGTATTCTCTTTAAAATAAATATAAGAAGAAAAGCAGTACAACTTTAAATTCAGAGAAAACTTTTGTTGGTTTATGAATTCCTGACCTAAATATGATGTGATGATTGAAGAACATGGATTTTCGCAATAGTTTCATTGTAATTGGTTTTCCAATTTTTCAATAAAGACTGAAGTTTTTGCCAAATATTTTCTGAAGCTAAAATTATGCTTTTTTTGGAATTTACTATTGTATTTTCCCAAGATTGAATATTTTTTAACAGGTTTTGGATATTAATTAATGAAAAGATATTTGTATCTGTAAATGTACCAAATACAATGATTTCATTAATTAATTTTTCTATTGACATTAATAGATAATCTATTTCTTCGAAAACATTGAATATGAAATCACTTGATTTTATCATTTAGTAGGCAGAAAATATTTTAGAATGTCAAAATTGACGATTTTGTTGATATTATATTCTAAGCTAATTGATATTTTATTTTATACTACATTAAATTATGGACTTAATACAGGACGACGATTTTTCTGTGCACGGGTTTGCTGTTTTCCATGCATAAAAAAATCTTTTGACATTTTTGTGCACGGTTACAGAAAGGTGCACGGAAAAAGTCAGACATGTGCGTGGAGATGTTTTTGTGCACGGTTTTTTGAAGGACGAGGTTAATCTATATCCCATTGTTTGATTATTAAGTTTTTTTTATTACCAAAAATATAGCATGTAGCTATTTACCAAAAAAAATCTTCTTTTAGTATTCCCACCTCGACTTAATTATTTTCCTGCCTTTTTTGGAAGTCCACGCCTTTTTCCTTGACATGCTTTTCTTGATGATTCTTGACATAATGTTTGTTTAAAGAAAAATTATTTAGAGTCTATTGAGAACTGTCTGGATTGAATTAATTCTCAAAGAGATGAACTTCACTCTACACCAGTTTTCAAAATTTATCGTACATTTCAGTCAGTAAGTCTCTTTTGTATTAAACGAGACGTCTGTTCATAGATCATCTTATTTGATCATCGGCATGTAAAACGAAAATATCTTTTACTCGTTGAAAAACCGTGCATAAAAACGGCCCCGTGCACCTTTCTTTCACCGTGCACAAAAAACATTTTTCTCCATAACACATCGATCGTTCTAATAATACATAGTACATAGATTAGAAAACGATACTTGTTTATAGAAGTGAATGTTGAATGAACCACTATACTATTGTGAGAGAAGTTCCTGTACAACTTTTATTAATAAATTTTAATTTTATTAAATAATAATACATCCTATATACGAATAGAATAAGAGTAGATTTAAGTTTTAATATTTTTTATTTTTATAGACAACTGTAGTTTTAAATGCATTTGAAAATGTTGTCATGTCAAAAGGATATAGTCTGTCCGTTTAACTGAATTTAGAATGTAAAAGAGCCTAGATAACTTTTTTACTTTTTAATATCGTACTAACAAAGTCTATTTTATGTTTGTTATCTAATCTATCAGCTGAATTAACTTTGAGAAACTTGTTCTCGTAATAGTGAAAAATGATATTTCTGTTTTAGACAAATTCAAAAAGATGGTATTTTTAAGTAGATTCTTTCATAAATTACCCACACCCGTATGGCAACTAAAAGAGACCATACCAGGAAATCGTACAGATAGAAGATGGTGGCGTATGGAAACATTTCGTTTTACATTTAATGCTGATGGTCGTCGACGACATTGTTTTAGTATTGCTATAAGATATATGAAAAATCGTTGGCGTTTAGCATCAAGAAATCGTCAAATAAAAAAAATTTTTTATAGAGAATTATGGGAAACAAGAATAAATGCTGGTGCCATGGAACATGGTTTACGTTATCCAACATTACATGCAAGTTTATTACGTCAAAATATATTATTAAATAAACCAATGTTGTCGGATTTAGCCATTTATGAACCACGAACGTTTGAATGTTTAACATTAATTGCTAAACAACATATATCAAATACTGGATTAAAAATTGCTAGAGGACTAAATCCTGAAGATCAAGATAGACCCATTGTCACATCAGATGATCATGTTTTAACTCCAACATTATTTCGAGATGTTACTAAACGATTTTGATTAAATTGTTTTTGTAGTGTTTCTTTACAGCTTCTTCTACCTTTTTGTAATAAAAAAATCACCATTAGTAGAGTATCTTTATATTGTCTGGTATCAATTGGCAAAATATCACATCTATTCCGGTTATTATCAAAAGTAAACATCAATGTTGGGTGCTCGTGACAGATGATCGTTAACACAGTCGCTTTGGTTGATGACCACACGTTCCCATATCAACAGCGTTTCCTCCCATCTCAGATTAACGATATCCCTTCTCACGCTACTTTTTTTACTACTGACTTTTCCTTCTCGAAATATGAAGGAAATGGTCAAACCGCTATTTAAAACCTACGTTTTTGATTTTGAAAACTAGTATTTATGACTATATGAAACTAGTATTTTTAGGATAATAAGCTCAAGAAAAAGTCTACTCTGCATAGTAAAGTTTCGAAATATTTAATTTGTTCAAGGGTAGTCCTCCATGATGGACCAAGTCAAGATGTACTATGAGCCATGCAAATAGTTTAGTAGTAATATCGGTGGCGGGAGTTACGGTCTATGAATAGAAAACGGATAAAAGTTAACCTTTCGTTAAAGAAACTTCATATGGTAACTCCTTTATAAAGATATGAACGATATCGTAACGACAACTGTTTTGACGTTCATTTTTATTAAAAATATATTCAATTTTTGAAATTCGACGTTTCGAAAGTACAGCTTTCATTTTCAAGAAAAATAAGGATAAAATATTTAAACATCAGAAAAGTGAAACAACAGTGTGATTTCAAGAGTGAAAAAGCGCTATAAATGGGAGATGGTCTAGGTTAATAAGTATTATTGATAAGTATATAGTGCATATCTGACGTATTATTTAAATATGTGATGAGTGAAAAGCAAAATGTTTCTCTTTTTTTGAAATAGGAACTATAGATGGATAGTAGAAAAGTTAAAATAACGATAATATAATGAAGTTAAAATGAAGACTCAACCAGAAGAACCAATGGACTTGGTTTCGCCTATGAGAGATCTTGATCAGGTTCAGCCAGTGTCTAATATGGAATTATTCTATGCCAAGTTGTTGGAAGTATAACATATTATTACTAGAATGGGAAACCATCCAACGAACTCACGATATACAGTCTATCATCTAAACATTTGCAAGCAGTTAAGAAATTAACACATTCACTGCCGTATATGTCGTATGACGTATTCATGTCATATATTTCAGCATGTGTGCCAGTGAATGTGTTAAGATCGTTCGTAGATTCTGTTGGAAAGTCAGAAGTGAACTAAAATCATTTTTGCGTCAAAACAGGCTACTTCATGAAGTTTTATGTAATCTTTCTAAGAATAAATTTATCATGATGAGGCGACCAGGACAAAAATAATGACTAGTCATCCGGTGAAAGAATCAGTCGTTGTTCGGGCAATGATGTCGAATACATTCCCTCTATGTTGATTCTGTGCATAATTCTCTTTTGAATATGGGGAATAGGGAAGGTCATACTTTTATTTATAATGACCATCTATTTAGACGTGCGCTCGTCTACGATATTTTGATAGTTGTGGTACGATATTTACACAATTTATCTTATATATTTAAAATAACATATGAAAGAATTATCGGATTCTTGACGATCGTCCTACTTCTCGTTATATTATTGGATGCCTGCTATTACGTCACGACAGGATCTTCCGACGGTAAATAGAGCGATTTTTTAAAAAGTTGTGCATGTAAACTCATTAATGAATAGTAAATAAGATATTATTGATAATTAAAAGAAATGCATACAGCTTTGATATAACCGAATTTATTATATTATACGGCCTAAGACTATCCTAGAAATACTTATTGAAAATCTTCGTCAATTTATTTTAAATAGAAAAGGCACCATTCATTCTACCCGCTCTTCTACCATTATCATTTTCGTACAACATCATCCCACAAGTTTAAACGACGTTTATTCTATAAAGAACCTTAGGACATTTCAAACTTGTGCTATCTATCTATTTGTAAATTGTCTTACAGCATACGTAGAATCAAAAACCATTTTATCCGAAACGAATTTAGAAACCTATACTACTATCGTTTTCAAAAAGCAGTGTCCTTGGTTATTTTTTGAATAACTTGGAAACGCAATGTGCTAGAGATGTGCGATTTCCACCATTCGATAGCCAAGACTTTATATCATCTTTCCGTAAGCAAAAGCTTGTTTCAGAAATTTTTCAAAAAACAGTTTTCCAAAAGAACTTTGGAAAATCAATTCGCATCTCAGAAAATGAATACAGCAATTTGTTGATTTTTGTTCATAGATAGCGCGTTCTACAAAATGGGATCTAAGCGAGGACTCCGAAATTCGTTCTTCACGCGGAATAACGATACTGCTGGGATCATCAGGATCGGTCTTTCTCGTAGTCTGATAATATAAAAAATGCACGATTCATAGATAATCGATGTTCCTGATCATCGTGATAATATTTATTTTAATGCGGAAAGTAAAATAACTTAGACTGATGAGTTTTTCAAAAAATACGAGTTTTGAGTCATAAGCGCGTCAAATAAAACTTTTTATAGCAACATTATTTTGGATTAAAATCGCTTGAAACCTCGCGGAAAAGCTTATTACACTCTTCTGCAGCTGATTCAGCATTAAACGTTGGATTCATAACCGTTTAGGACTTCCAAGGAAGGTTTCCAGAAACCTTCTCAAAAACCTAGCTAGGAGAACTTGAAAATCTTTTTATTGTCAAAATTGAAACCTTTAAGTGATTCAGAATGTATGTGTTCGAAAAGTTTCAACCGATTTTAATAAAAAATCTGCTCAAAACCCATATTTTTTGAAAAACTCATCAGTCTAAGTTATTTT